GAAGAAATCTTGGAGAACACACAGAGGGAGGGTTGGGGCTAAAACCTAGACAAACAGACCATATATGTATAGATTTACAGTGTGCATACAAACACGTGTGATATACTGATGATGTAATATAGATGATGATGATGATGATGATAATATAATATGTGGCAGAACTTAGAGATGCAGTTGTGATGTTATCACGGTTGTATTTGTTACTGAAATGATTTAAACGTGACTGTGACAAACTCCACAAACTTCAGGGCTGCGGAGGAAGGACGTCAAATAAATGTTTTGATAAAGTGAGATTCCCAAGAGGTGCGATTTTAGAGAAACACACTTAAATATGACACTTTTCTTTAGCAATGAGAGAAGGGGAAGAATGCTACTGTAATTAAAAGTAAAAACCGGTCTTAACAGTTAAGTTTCTGCATTATTACCAGAATCTCTCTTAACACCCAAATGGGTTCGTTCAAAAGAGGATACAAAATTTTGCATGTGCTGTAATCGATGACTAGTACCGCTGCAGTTTTACTGAACAAAACCCCCAAGGTTTTGATACATAATCAAGGAGTGCCGAGTGGCGTCTGTCTTGTATATTTTTGTGTAATCAGTTGCAAGTCCATAAGCTAAAATGTGTGTAATGCTATGTTTTCAGGACTGTGTGAGCTGTGAATGTGATGATTTCTAAACTGATCATTAAATCAGAATTTTCATATGTGGAGGAAAAAAAATAACTTAGTGTTGTTTGAGTTTATTTTTGGACCAGTGTAGATGCTTTGGACTGACTAAATTAATTACTTTGCTATCCTGATCATTGAAAACCTGTTGATTTTAGTTTTGTTTATACAATAATGTGCTAATACCTCATACAAGTGTCTGGTTTTATGTAATACATCTGTAGCAAAAAAAACAAAACAATTATGAAATAAATAATTTTACAGTATTTTTTTTTCCAACTGATGAGCATGAATTGAAGCTATTTTTTTTTTTTTTTTAAATGGCAAAAAGCGTCAGTCTTTGTGCACATAATTTTTCGTCTATCACAATAACATGAAAATGTTAGCTGCTATTTCAGATAACATTTTAAGCTTTTTGAGACCAAAAAAGGGAGGGGGGATTTTTCTCATTGTGTAGGACGAGGTACAAGAGATTTGATTTTATTACCGAGTCTACAGTTCGATGCAGTCTGGTAGCTGTGGATGAAAACAAGAGCAGAAGATAGTGGATAGAACTGTGCTGTCTGTGCTAACAGTGAAAAGACACGAGATGGCGACAATGCAGCACAGGCCCGACGATGACAGCGTTAGCAACGACCCCTGGCTGCTGCTGCCTGTGGGTGACACAGTCTTCACTACATCTCCGACAAGGTGTCAGATGTTAGTTTTTATCGTTCGGCCACCCTTTTCAGCCGTAAGTGTTATGTCTCTCTTCTGTGCCGTCGCTGTTTCTAATGTCAGCTGATTTACAAGCTAGCTCCTTTATGTAACGTAAACGTATGTGTGCGTTTCAAAGGTGATCTAATGTACTCTGCTTGCGCTAGCTGACGTTAGCTTAATAGCAACATGTACGAAAACCAATCTGTCACCTCAGCATCAAGTATCGATAGCAAACGGGTCTAACTAGTTACTGCATATTAACAGTCTGTGGGTCTAACACAAACAGTTGGTTATAAGCTGTTCTCATTTTCGAGCAGTTTGGCGAAGCGGCACTAGCCCGCAATGAAGCGTAACGTTAACGTCAAATCAAGTGTAACCATTGCCACCGAGCTAATTTACATTTAACGTGTGCTAGCCTGTCATCGAACCCATCTAATATTCGGTTAATTAACCAACTTACAATTGCTAATCAGCTCATTTTTACGAAGTCCGCGTCAAAACGGGAAGTGACTGTTCCTGTCTGCTGGCATGTGCTCCACGTTATTTTCTGTCTTACCTGGATAACATTAGCTTAAATATCTGGGGGTATAATATTAACCAACTTGTCGAGCTAGGTTTAATTAGGTTAGCTGCTAACAACAAATTGGTTAAAGCTGGCTCGTCCAACTCATTTTCACCTATAGGGCCACATATATACATATACACATCGCTAAGGCGACCCAGACCTGCTTTTTCCCCATGTAATCCGATGAAAAACATATATTAAAAAACAAACAAACGAACTAATGATCAATAGGATGCGATACCTTTAAAAAGTAAATGCATTGCAGACCAAAGTTTATCTAAAAAATAAAAAAGGAACAAAACACTCACATGTAGAGTTTTGTATTTTGAACTATTTTATTGTGCTGTTTATATTTCAAACAATTCATAAAAAACTGGAAATACTTTTAACTTTCTATTTAGAAGTAATACTAAGTAATAATTGCATCTTGATAAGCATATTGTCTTTATTTAGCACTTTCAAAAATAAAAAGGTTTACAGGACAAGCTAGGAAACAAACGACAAATAAAACACTTAAGAAAAGATAAAAGGGAAACGTGCTGCACAAACCTAAAGGGGAAATAGATGCAATTGGAAATGAATAATAGGTAAAAAGCAAGTAGGTTTAAAAGCAAATAAATGAATAATGAAGAAATGAAAAACTCATAGTGGAAAAAGCTTGTTTATAAAAAGATGTCATTTAGAGCAATTTAAAAGATGACAGTGAGGTTCTTCTAAAGAATAGTTGTTCAAACAGAAAAATCTCGATTACCCTTGTTGATCTCAGCCGAAATTGTGGGATGGCCAGAATGGAGGTTATAATGAGGGGTGTGTAGTGTCAGAAGATCTGAAATATACTTCTGTACAAGCTCAGAGCGGGCCTTCTTAAAAAAAGCCTTAAAGTCTGTTCTAAAATTATTAACCAACAGGTAACCAATGAACGAAACGAAATTATTACAATTCCATTGCAAATCTATCCAGTGGCCTGGGCTGGTCCCTAAAGTGTTTCAGTCGCAGTTCAAAGAGACTGCTGCCCTGAACTGGAAAACTGGCCAGCACTAATCCCCAACTTTTGGTGACTAGATGCATTTAGCTACATTGTATACAAAACCTATAGGTCAACATAATTGGCTATCTGCCTCCCTTGTCTCTATCACTGCTGCAGGTCTCATGTCTTTGCAGTGGTCCTTTCACAGGACAGGGTCTGTGTCTTCTTACACCTTTGTGTTTGTCCTTTTGGCTGAATTCCCTTTTCCGTTTGTCTTTCATAATTCATGGTCCCCCTGTGGAGTAAGGTCCAAACAAAGGAGGAGAGGATGGATGGTTTTATGGCTAAATGACTCAGTGGGAGAGGTGCATTAACAGATAGTGATTAAAAAAAGGCAACTCTTGTTTTTTTTAACATCATCAGCTATCCATGTTTCTCTCTAGGCTGGTGATTGTTTTATCTTTTAATGTCTCAGATGTTTGTTTGAAGCATGAAAACATTAAGACCGTACATGGGCATTAACGCTGTATACCAAAGGGACATTCAGAGCTTTCAACAATTATGTAACAGCGATGTTTGTGTCTCAGTGTGATTTTAAGGAGTTTTATTATTTTTAGAGATATTAAAGCACACTTTGTTTCCCATACAGAAGGTTTCTTTTCTTGATTAAATATACAGAGCTGATGCAACATAAAGACAAGGTGGTGCAGCATCCCATAGGATTTCACCTCTATCTGTAGAAAGCACATCGCTGTGCTGATTGGTTCACTTGTGCTTCTTCTTTGTTACCATATTTTACACACACGTCCATGAGGAATTTCATGGAAGCAGGGAATCAGAGTTATGTTTGGTGTGTCTATCCACGCATTCCCTTTTAACTCTCTAAATGTTTGGTCTTTGCCAGAGTAATGCAGAATTACAGGAAGAATAATTAGTGCTGCAGGAAACCAGGACAGCCTTATTCCACTGAGATAGGCTTTTATTAGCCATTTTGTTGAGGTTTGAGATTTTATCTTTCTGCTGAGTCAAAAAATGGTGAAAAATGTTGGTTGGTGACCAGAGGCAAAGTTGCTGCCCATCCAGTAATGCCTTAAGGGGAGCCATTTTTTTTCTCATATAAAAATAATAAGAAAATTTGCTGAAAATTTCTTTTTGCTAGTCAGACTTTTTCTCTCATAGTCAGTTTTTGCTCCTTATTCACACTTCCTGATTCTAGATCATCTAATAATGTCAATTTATCAGTACTTTTGCTCTGTGTGAATTGTTTTCTCACAGTATTTGAATGCTGACCTTTTATGTTGACATTAGAGAGTATAGGTAATATCCAGAGATTGGTTGTATTGAGCTTGTTGTTGAAACACGTGCCAAACAGGAAGGGTACAAAACAAGTATTAGTGGCTGTTTTGTTTGCAGACAATACTGTTATTTGTGGTCAAAACATGGCAAAGTAACAACAAATATACGAGTCACACATGCCTGTTTGTCTAGTTCCAGTCTAAACATGCATAAGCTAGTAAAACTAAGTCGCCTGCCACTGTACATCGATTCAGAAGTGCATACAACAGTAAACCAGAAATCTGTAAAACGCTGTCAGAAAGGGGTCATTCTTTTGGGCCATTTGTAGTGTTACTATTCTTTGGATTTCTCTGCAGCTTGATTTGCCTCATATAGACCTTATATATGTTATGGGATTGGGATATTTATCCTTTATTCCATTTGTTCCGGCTCTTGTGTAAATGTTATTGTGTCTTTTCTATTCTCTTTTTCTAGTCTGCGCTTGGTGTCTCAGTTGTTGTCCAATTTTAATTGGTATTTGAAGAACTGTCAGATTGTGAGATTTTTACACCTTAATCCTAATAATTTAGCATTTAAATCCCTAGTTGGGCATTTTTTCTTTCTAGAGTTTTCTCATAGCTGAAACCCAGATGTCGTGTTGTGGATCAAAACTGGTCACAGCAC